ACTTGAGTTTACCTTTTTTGATCTTGGTCTTTTATATAGAAAGTATAAGCTTCTAACACCCAATGTGTATATACAGGGTGACTTTGAAGTTGAGTCATTAATTTTCAGATAATTATTGTAGACGGAAGATAAACCAAAATATGTGTGTAAAAATAAAAAAAAATAAAAAAAAATGTTACCTTGTTTTATAAAGTATCCTCCCGACAAGTATTTCAGTGCGGACCTGTATTTGATCGTGCGGTCTTGGAGCACCGGCATGCCCTCCCCTGTGAGATCTTAAGTCACCTGATTCACGAGCCCTTTGTACTACATTCAGCATTTTCGTAAACATGTGCCATTTTTTATTCACTATTCACTCACGCGTTACCGACTGACACATCGACTGAATACAGCTGAATAAGATTGTACATTGTAGTAAAAACATCGTTTCAAATTCTTTCGCTTTTTGTTTCCGATGCGATGAACGGATAAGGCGGATTATATCCGTTGTTGCCAAACACGAGCACATAATATTATTATTGAGACAGGGCGGTACTCAAACTTCTGAAGAGCTATAACTTTATATATTTTTATTTATAACTTATAACTTACTTTAATTTTACCAGAAAAATGTTAAAGGAAAAAAAACATTTCTTTTGATCAGATCTACTCACTGTTAAAATAAATTACTCAACTTCGAAGTCACCCTGTATATGTGCGTGTGAACTTAAGCTCCGCACATTTTTTATACCGAAGCAGCCGAAAAGGCCAAAGCCTAAATACCGGGATACCGCGGCTGTTATTATATGGAGCTTAAAGATACTTTGTTGAACCGATTTTTGAACTGCCTAAGGTTGGTGGAACTGGGAAAAGCCTCCTCAGGTAGATTTTTCCACAATGTCAATACCATAGGGACAAAGAGGCGGTCGTACCGCCCATTGACATTGCGGTAGGATAGAGCCAGGTCGCCGAAGGCCCGTCAGAGCGAAAGGGTCCCTTCTCTCAACAGCATAAGGCATGCATAATGTAGTCGGGGCTGGAGCACACCAAACATGTGAGCAGAATTCGAGGCTAGTTGTTATCTGTTGCAAAGCCTTGTAAACGTAACAGTTAATCAATTTGCTTGGCTATTTCAAGCGACATTCTGACGTATATGCTAAATGCCGTGAAAAAGGCTATAGGATTTTCTTATGTCAAACTTAATTCCACCGAATATCTTAATTCCATGTCCTCGTGATGCGTAACATTTGCCCCGGAAACAGAATTGGTTGTTCCTACCACCTGGAGCGGGTGAGGTTCTATCTTTTACCGATAGGGTTCAGCAACCCTTGCTTCTGTTTAATAGCCACATACTTCGATACATGTCTGAATCGGCTATGAACCTCTTGATGTCTCTACGGTCATTATCACAATCAATATTTCACCAGTTCCTTGTATGATTAGTCATCACATTGTTACTATAACGTCTGGTGACATTCATCGTAGGTTAGGAACTAACACCCCTAGTTTTGTATAGTGATTTGATTCTACATTGTTTAGTACATCACTATATTCACTCACAAGAGAATCTTTTATTTGAGGAGAGCCAGACTTGGTAGGGCTGCACTTTATTTTTGGTCATGCACAAATCTTGTCAGTGTATTAAGATTAAAAAGGTACGAGTGTGGGCTTCATTCCTGATGCCGGTGAGTATGTCTTCGTAAATGTGGGAGCGAAATCGATTTTGGCTTGTGGATGGCATATGACTTGGCGCAGCACGACAGCGACATCGCTGCAATGCTCTCTCGTCCAGCCATTTTCACTAATGGTCTAGTCAACAAGTCTCTTTTAAGGATCACAACAAGTTATTAGTAGCCAATTGAGTCCGGCATATGGGTATTCGGGGTTACGCTCCCCCAGAGCTCAAGTCTTTGGCTGTAATCACTAGCCAAATACCTGCTTTGTGGAAGCACTAACGTAAGCCTTCCAACTTTTTGATAATTATATAACATTGTAATACTACCAATCACCAGCCTCAAGATGCAGTAATGCCTTTACCTCAAGAAAACTTCACGATGGAGACCGTAACTCAAGAATCTCTTCGGTCAGAAAACATTTTCGAAGAGGCTACAAGCAAGAGTCCTCAGCCTGGATGTAGCAACTATTACACAGTGTCTTGTAATATAGATCGTCCTACAGTTGTTCATTTAAAAAGAAAATAAAAAAAATTATTATGTCTCGCCCATACATAGCGGAGAAAGCGACGTAGATGACTCAGATGCAGATCCAGATTTCATCAACAAGCATCCCGGTAGTGACAAAAGTTCAACGAAGAGTACAGAAGAAGTTATAAGTGGAAGCTTAGCAGAGATAGAAGTTACAAAAGGCAAAAAATAGAACGGAATGTTGGTAACTGGTCTTTAGAAAAACTAAATCGTTCAGAAATTCTGGATAGCTATTTTTTCTGGGTATTGGGAACTTGCGCGTTTACAAAAACAAAGAGAATTTATAGTGAGGCATACTGAATCTATAATACCGAAATACCGTTATTCATGTACGGATAATTATAGTCAAATGAATTCGGCATTTTATTTCAATCTCAACGGAAATCGCATTAGGGTATGCAATATGTTTTTTAAGCCCACCCTCAACATTAACGATCGTCCTATTCGTACAGCTCTACAAAAACGAATCGATGAGGGTTTTATTATCACTGATCAAAGAGGAAAACATGGTAAACAACCACAGGTGAATCCCGAAATTGAAGATACCGTGAAACAATTTATAAATGCCATACACCGAATTGAATCGCATTATCTGAGCGCTCAAACTACTCGAGAATATATTGATAGTAGTAAAAACTTGTATAGAGATTATAAATATGATTGGGAAAGTTGACAACTTCCGTACGCCAATTATGTGATGTTTAATCGTATTCAATGGCGAATATAACATTTCATTTTATATACCCAAAAAAGATCAGTGCGATTTTTGCTTTTCCTATAGAAATGCAGATGATGAAAAAAATTACAAATGGTTCAATCATCGCAGTTTATGACCTAAAGGCAGTAATACCGGTACCCAGAGGGCAGATCTCCTCCTTCTATTGTAAGACTAAACTGAATTGTTACAATTTTACTATAAGCGAGGCTACTTTTGGAATGAGACTGAAGGAAAACGTGGAGCGATTCAAATTGGAGGCTGCGTACTTTTTTACCTCAAACACCTGGTTGAGAAAAGTAAGACTGCTCAACCTTTGGATGTAATATTATATTCAGACAATTGTTGTGGTCAGCAGAAGAATAATTATTTAGTCACCGCCTACTCATACGCGGTAAACAAACTGCCAATCCGCAGTATCACCCATAAATATTTAATAAAGGGGCATTCTCAAAATGAGCGGGATAATGTACATAGTATTATTGAGAAGCAAATTATGAAATATCTCAAATCTGGACCGATTTACGTGCCTGATAAGTATGAAACACTAATTGGAACAGGAAAAAAAAAGTGGTTCCCCTTACAGAGTTCACCAGCTTACCTTTGAAAATTTCTACGATTTAAAAGCGTTACATGAACAGTGGCGAAAAAACTTTACGACAGATACTGAAAAAGGAAAAGTTAGCTGCAATGACATTAAAATACTTGAAGTGTGTAAGGAATACTCGGATTCATTCTTCTATAAAACGTACTATGAACAGGAGGAATTAGGAAAAGTCGATTTGAATAATGTGAAAAACACTAGATTCCAAGAGCATAATACAGACTCGGTTAGCTTACTTCAAGCTTATTCTCATAAGGTTCCATTGAGTGACTTAAAAAACAGCACTTACAGGAATTAGCTGATAAGGGAACAATTAAAAAAATATTACTCTCTGTTTATAAAAATGTACTTAGGGTTTAATTCAGTTCAAACCTTGTGAAGGAGTTATGAAGACTGAAAATTATTTTAATTCAAATGCAAGCCTCTTATTGTTCCTTATTATGAGTTTCTGTATGTTGTGTTTTTCTCCCTTGTATAAAAATGGGAGTACCTGTTCAGTATTTAGGGCCAAATCAATGTGTTTTTGATGTTTTGTGTAAGAAAATGAAAATATTTCTATAGTATAATGCTATCGATTTATTTTCAGGTAAAAACTATGAATAAATCTTCTACTTCTTTTCTTATTATTTTTAATAATATCGAACAACAAAAGTGTCACAAGTCTTTTGTTCCTTTTCAGTTCCCAACTAAACTGTCGGTTTTGGATATAATTCCAGGATTTTTGTTCAAATCAATCATCAAAAGTCATATATCTTGAAAAGGGCTTTTCGTTAAAGCATACCAGCCTTGAATAGAGAATATAGTATAGCATAAGTATTTTTATTACTTATACTATTTATCCGAACGAATGTATTTTTATAAAAAAAATTTAGAGTGTAGAAAACAGTTTTCTTCGGTTTGCCAAAAACTTAGTTTTTAGAGTTGTGTCTCTTTTGTAGCAAGGGTGCGACATGTACAAATCCAGTTTATGGCCACTTGCCACTGGGTTTTCATGTACTGAAATGGAAATCTAATTAGATTTTCACCACGTTTCATATTCAGAATTGTATCATAAACACCAATGACAATGGTTTCGAACTATCGTGGAGATAAAATAAAATTGAATGTCTTATCGTAGTGTCAATAAGTCACTAATGAAATATAGTAGAAATCACATATCTCTTTATTCACGTCACAAAAAGCCACGATTGGTGATCGACTTACGTAAAATGGCAAGTCATATAAATTTAATGTGCTAGAAAATGAAGAAGATATATTAGCATGTCGCACCGACTACAAATATGTCTACATGGTTGCCGCTTATGCACAGGCTTATTTTGCATGTCGTAAATAATATCACATCGTCATTTTGACGTTCAACTATGAGGTTAAAAATACCACAATACAGGAAACATGATAGTTCCCGGTTAATTTGGCAGCAGATATTGTGTTAACTTTCGATTTCTCTGTTAATCAACTTTTGCGGCGAAGCTCTGTTCTTGTCGGTGTTGATATTGTTGGGATAATGCCGAAGTCCTTAAGCAGCCGGTGTAAAGAGCTTGTAGCATCTCTTATCAATTATTCTGAAAAGGAATGTGATGGACCATTGAAATCAGTTAGGGAGGTAAATTGTATCTTACTACTTTCGAAAGGAGTATCATAAGGTATTATCTGTTTTAGCGTGTAGCGAATGCACTAAACTTGAGTTTGCCTACTGTAAGTAAGGTGTCAGCGGCAATGAAAGGCAATGTGAGGTTAAATTCTCCCACAAAAAATCGTAGAAGAAAGAAAACAGTGACTGATACATCATTGTTAAATGTTAGTGCTATCCGTAACGAAATTTATATGTATAAAAATCGTAAGTATTAATGAGTATTTGTTTTTATGAATGCCTACATAAAGTGCTGATTGTAGGAAATCATGTGAATCTGCAGACACTGGTAGAAAGACTTAAAGCAAAAGAATTTTTTGGTGGTAGTTTGGCATCTTTACGAAGATTTTTACATGAAATTGGTTTTAATTGGAGAAAAGATGATCCAAAAAGAGGTCTCATGGAAATGCTGGATATTGCCTCAAAAAGGGTACAATTATTTCTAAGGGAGGGACAAGGAAGAGGGAATATGTGAATCATTTGTATTTCTCGATGAAACTTGGATATTCCAAAATGAAACAGTTGGGCGCTCATGGCAGGATAAAAATGTTAAAAGTGTTAAAGCTACTAAAGTAGATGGTAGAAGGTACTGTTTTTGTAGGACAAATAGGGTTCAGGACCTGGGTGTGATCAACAGATTCTTATTTTAGATACATTGTACTTCATGCTGGCAATGAAAATGGTTTCATTATGGGAGCAGAATCAATATTTGCCTCTAAAAAACAAGTAGGTGATTATCATGGTGAAATGAACAAGGAAAATTTTTCGAAGTGGTTTGAAGACCAACTCCTAAAAAGCTTGTCCGAGCCTTCTTTGATTATTATGGATAATGCTCCCTATCACAGCATTTTATTGGAGAGATGTCCAAATAGCTCATGGAATAAACTTGCAATTCAGGAATGGCTGACACACAAAAATATTCCTTTCAGCCAGATAATGTTCAAAACGGAGTTATTAACTCTTGTTTCCCAGTGATTTACAGATTGATTATTTGTTTGATAATTTGTTTCTATTTTCAGACATAAACCTCCCAAGAAATATATTATTGATGACTTAGCAGAAAGATACGGCCATAAAGTTTTAAGACTTCCTCCATATCTTTGTGTTTTCAACCCAATTGAACTTATTTTATAATAAACACATTGGGAGAGATGGATATTCAGAAACTAGTGCCTTAAGTATGTGGTGTCAAGCCCTTCACACTGTCGCTCCAGATATGTGGAAAAACTCTATTCAGCACACAGAAAAGAAAATTATGGCTTGGTACAAGAGAGAGAGACTATTTGGTAGAAAGGAAATCTCGCCTGTGATAATTAATGTTGAAGATTCCACAAGTGAATCAGAAATCTCCAGTGATTTAAGTGACTAATTTTCTTGTCGATGGTATAAATAACTATTTGCTATGATTCTAATACTGTTAAATGCTGCTAAATACTGATAAGGTCTGGGTCAGAGTAAAGATAACCTGGCCACGCAAGGCAACGGTCGGTCGGTGCCCAGGTTATCTTTACTCGGACCAAGGTCTGTATCATATGTCTTGAGCTTTCCACATTAGTAAATTACTCTTTATAATGTTAACTATAGCAATACAATACCTACAATGCATTTGTAAGATGTTTTTGTATATAAATAAAAATTCCCAGTATACCTCTACCTGTTAGATTTGTGATTTAAAATAAAATACTTCCTCACTAAACAAGGATCTTTCCGTACAAATGACCAATATGTAGACTTAACTGGGATTCTGGATGAATCCAAGTTTTGTTGAGACGCGTTTCAAAGAATGTTATGCAGGATTCATCTGGAATCACAGTTAAGTGTAGTGATACCACCTGCGAAAATTTCAAATTGTATAAACTAAACAGTCCATTTCTAATCATAATGCTTTAAAGGTTAAGGGTTAGTTTGATACTCTGGTTAGGACATGTCAATTTTGATATTTAAACTATAGAACATAAAATAGAGTGACTACAGTGTTGCCAGGAATAAAAATTTTAATGTACTCCAAAAAAAGATATTTTATGTTGTATAAACGAAGCAAAAAAACAGTTTTAATATTGACAGAATGGACTGTATCACAATTGTATCAAACTAGTTTCTTTCGTTTTGATTATTTGCTTTTGTAACCACTATTTCCTTATCATCAGCTGTGATCGATCACCTTACGTTACCAATATCGAGATCATTACCGACTCAAATGCAATAAATCGTTGAAAAAAGATTTTATTCTCAGTCTTTTTTACAAACGCTGCGTATGGATTTACTCCCATAAGCGTTATGTGCTTTGCGATTCCAATATAATCCCCAGTTACACAATCACTGTATCAACAATTGATCTCAAATTCTCTTGCATTTTTTACCGAAACATGGGCAAAAAAATGCATCGTAATCAACGTTAATAGTTTCTTTTGTTTTATACCACAATATGGTTATTTTATAAAAGTACTATTACTTCAAATATAGCACATGTGGTAAAATTGTACTGCTCTTGGCAACACCGGATTAGGATACCACAGGATGTTTCCCATTTGACATGACAGTTAATATTGTCAAAGCCTATCTTCTGTAATGTGTTCTCAGTATTTCAATATCGACTTATCTCCGACTTACCTCAATACGTAATTTTTCCGTCACTCTCAACTTAGATGCTATGCAGAGAGAATGAGAAAGATGACGAATGCTGAGAATTCCTACAACATATCAATTTTGAAGATGTATGGCATCACCGGTGATTGAAGCCTATGACGTGCATTAAAAGTTATGTGACTCGAACTGTACCTGGTTTGTAGGATACTGGTGCCGAAATTTATTTGAAATTTATTTTGTCATAAATAACCTTTCAGTCAATCAAAAAGGCCACCGAAATGGCCGAACCGTCAGTAAGCCGTCGTTTTTGCATATGTGGTTTCATTATCAGCCAGAAAAAAACATGGACAAAAAAAAATCCTTTAGCAAATATCGTTTTTCTATTTAATCTAGGTAAAATCGTTCGAGAAAAACGCGCCAATAAAAACACGGTCCCTTCGAAAGGAAAAATGGATATTTAGATTAGAGGATCTAGACGGCGAAGATCTGTTGCCTTAGAAGACCGTTCTTCTTACATATGTACTGCCGTCATAAGCCAGAAGATTATTATATTATCGCATTTTACAGGAGTGATGAAAACGTGTTGTAAACCTTCTCAAATTGTAACGTTTTAAGGAAGAAGGATGTTTTTGGTTTGTACCTGGTTAAAATTGATCATATTTTCTAACAAATTTATTAATTTTTCATGATTATGCCTATTTATAATAAAAATAGCATATACTCTTATTTCAGAACTGTTATCTTTTTAAATAATAACACTGTAAGTACTATGCCATGTACATGCTATGATCTTTCTTACAGGTATGCTAAATATGTGGTGTCATAATAAGTACAATATAGTATGCGTATATACGATGCTGTGTTTTAGGTTATAGATGCAGCCACACAAACCATGACAGATTTTGAATATTTATTGGGGGATGGGGGAACATTCGGTTGGAATAAATTGGTGTCAACAGTACGATGATGATGATTTATTGACAGCAAACACAGAAACAGAACAAACATAAAAAGAACAAATTCAACATAAAAACCAAGCAAATAAAAATATTGAACATTACTTTCTTATTCAATTGGGACATTCTTCCAAAAGTTCAGTCTGTTTTGTGCCACTAGTGGACTCACTTCTTAATAATAGTATCCCTCGTAAGTCTATCTATTCTAGCTGGCTGCTTTATGGCCTCTGGCTGAACAGTCACAATTTTTTGGAGATTTTCTTTAAAAATCAAGTTGCTCAAAATCTTGCTCGTAAGACCTTTTGTACTTGAGAGTAAGTTTGCCTCTCTCAGCAACTATCTGCATAATATCGGATAGATGGACCTGCGACTTCACATTTTGTACAGAATGGCGGTCAATCCAATTGTAAAAGTCTGCATGTTGCATGTCTTTAATAAAACCATTTGTTCCTCCTGCCATACGTACAGCATCTGAAAAATCGTTGAAGTCGGACACTCCTGTTTGTGTTTCATAACATTTTTCAACTTGGTTGGTGGAAGCTATCTGCTGACATACCTAGTGCTAATCGCTTTGTGAAAAGTACTTTTTGAACATTTCCATTCTAGGAATCATGATCACTTTTTGGAGGTCGACTGATAAACATATTTCTCCAGGTGGAAAAGTAGTTTGGGCATGCTGTTGGTATAGCTTCCTGGAAGAAAGGTACTTTCCATTATGACGCTTCCATAACACAAAGGTATCAATCACATTCTGCATTTAGGCTATCTCTGTTGTGACCAGGCTGGTGTGTATTGAATGTTTCGCAAGCTTCACACTGCTCATGCCTTAGCTTTGTGAAATGCACATTCATCTCTTTCAGAACTTACTGTAAAGATCATATGATAGCTGAAACGCGGGATATTTTTCCAGGAAACCTTGATGCATAATTGCAATAGTAACATCACTTGGTAAATATCTTACGTTGAGAGCATGCTCCCTTCTGTAATGTGACGCAGTTGTGTGGAATCATTCAATGTGCGCAACAATTTTTTCTCTGTTAAAGTTTTTTGTTGATGGATGGCGACCACGTCTATCGAAGTTCGGAATTATGCTCTATTGGGATGTGTTATTAAGCACCCTAAAAATCACACCATCATTCTTTTTATGATATCCTAGTGTTTCTAGGAAAAATATTTTGCACACTTGATGGTTTTATCCCATGTATGTCGGGCAATTTATATGTTAAAGTCATCGTTCGTTGCGAAGGTGGGCCCTTGATCGTTCTCCTTTTAACTTCCCTCTTCTCACAGTGGGATAAAATGAAAGATCTGCAATGCCCAATCCATTTTCCAGAAATCTTTGTTTAAAGTGACCTTCTTTCTTGATTGATCTAATTTAGATACAATAGGTCTCCGCATCCTGGTCTAACGTAACGGTTTCGTAGCGCTTGTTCCATTTTCAGTTGCACCTTATCTTTGGTAGCAATCTTAGGTTTTCGTGTCCTTACCGTTCCTTTTGAGTTAAAGCTACAAAAGATAGGTCATGTATTAAGTCGTCAAAAGAATAATGGTCCTGATAAAAAATACCTGGTGGAGTTTCTGTTTGTTGCGATTGATTTTAATGCTGCTGTCATCGTTTAGAAGAACTAGGTTCTGTAAAATTACGACGTTACTAGATTCTGAGTGTAACGTGGCAGGTACGATCAGAGGCTCAAAATTCTCATCTACAACAATCATGTCCTCAATCTTGCAGTCTCCTATCTCAAAAACAGAATCCAGTATATCTGAGAGAATACCAGTAATAAAACTATCATTCATATAGGTCCTGTACAATGGAGTTACATCCAGCACCAAAGAATCATCGGAAATAAGAAATGGCTTTGTACAGATTTGCATTGCTAAAAATAAATCATCAGATGCAGTATCTACAGCCTTCATGGGTATTAAATTGTGAACTTTTATAATAGCTCTTCATTTTTGCCCTATATTGGGTCATAAGTGTTCAACAGATTCCCCGAAAGTTCATACCTATGCAATGTGTTACATCGAGAATTACATAGCTGGGGCATTATAGAGTGTGTAAATGGAGGCCAGCAGGGGTAGTTCGTATCTTGAAAATTGACATTTCGTCGTTGCTTTCTGACATTCCGTAGGTTTTTTGCGTAGGTTCTTCTAAAAGATATTAACATATCAAAAGCTGTTGTACACTTTTTGTGAACGCGTAGTTTTCAGTGTGCAAACAGTTCATTCCTCCCTTTGATCGCTATGAGCGCCATTAAATGCGTTTATACAGGGTGACTTTGAAGTTGAGTCATTAATTTTCAGATAATGATTGTAGAAGGAAGATAAACCAAAATATGTGTGTAAAAATAAAAAAAAATTAAAAAAAATTTTTTACCTTGTTTTATAAAGTATCCTCCCGACAAGTATTTCTGTGCGGACCTGTATGTGATCGTGAGGTCTTGGAGCACCGGCATGCAGTCCCCTGTGTGGTCTTAAGTCACCTGATTCACGAGCCCGTTGTACTACATTAACAAAGGCACGAGGGGTTGGTTGCACTCGATTGGGAAACCGATCCGCATAAACATGTGCCATTTTTTTATTTCGTTTGAGCCACGCAACAGACACTACTATTCACTGACACTGACTGTATACAAATGAATAAAATAATTGTAAAAACATCGTTCCAAATTCTTTCGCTTTTTTGTTTCCGATGCGATGAATCGATATGGCGGATTATATCCGTTGTTGCCAAACACGAGCACATAATATTATTATTGAGACAGGGCGGTACTCAAACTTCTAAAGGGCTATAACGTTGTTACTTTAATTTTACCAAAAAATGTTAAAGGAAAAAAACATTTCTTTTGATCAGATCTACTCACTGTTAAAATAAATGACTCAACTTCGAAGTCACCCTCTATATGGAGGAATGACTCAACGACCCGACGTGCATTGTTGCTTGTTTGTTGGTTTCAGAAAGCCGAGTAGTCTATAGTGCTTATGTCTGAGAAGATGTGATAGAAACAAAGTTGGTTGAGTAGCAAGATCGCATCTGGACGATTATGTGTATTGGTCTGCATGTGTATAAAATCAGTGATATTTGCTATGTGAGAAAATTATTACTGACTATGCTGCCGATCTATTACTGTGCTTCACGAGCTATTTACATGTTGTCCTTTCTGGAGAGAGGTTGGTCCGAGTAAGGGTACCATGGCCACGCAGGAATACTGTTGAAATGAACTCTACTAGGCTCTACAAGAATATCGATAAAGATTTTTTTTTCTAAATCGTTGCACAAAACTTAAAAAGTTGCAAATGAAAATTGTAAAATCGATGCTTTGTCGTTTGAAAAGGGTCCTGGTACCCCAAGCTAGACATAAGTCCGCTGACCTTGTTATTCTTGTCACCTGGATTGAGGTGATGCCAGTTCATGGGATGTTTTTGATACCTGTGCTATTTTGCTAGAATGTAATAAAAAAAGAAGCATTGAATAAGATATTGAGGAATTCCAACGCAGAGACATGAGATTTAAGGTAATAATGTTAGGCAAATAGCTAAAGGTAATTTCGAATAATGCTCCCATTGTACCTACAAAAACAAACAATACAATACTGGTGGCGTTTATGTTTAATGAAAATTTGTATTTTTGTATTTCAAATTTTCATTTATAATCCGAGTCCACAATTTGCACATAAACATAAAACAATTAATCACTTATAACGTAGATTTCCATGTGTATAATAATGTGTGTGAGTATGTATTCTCGGGTAACATCAACAGTAGCATGATATTTTGATATTTAAATGACAGTAAAATACTATGCATAATAATAAAAATAATTCCTTTAACAAACAACTAAAAACTATATTTTTGTATAAATTTATTATAGCCCTTTCACCACATTCATACTCAAAAAGTTAAGTTCTTTGTTGAATGCATTATTTTTATTATTATGCATAGTATTTTACTGTAATTTAAATATCGAATATCAGGCTACTATTGATGTTACCCCAAAATACGCAGACATGCACTGTTTATACACATGGAATAATTGTTTTATGTTTATGTGCGAATTATGGATACGAGGTATAAATGATTAAATTTTTTATAATTAATGAAAATACTAATTTTCATAAAACTTAAACACCACCAGTCGAGTTATGTTTGTTCTTGCACGTACAAAGGAAATATTTTTTGGAATCACCTTCAGTTATTTGGCAAACACTATGACGCCTCAAATCTTATGTTTCTTCAATGGTATGCAATATTTTACTCAAAGCTTCTTTTATTTAACGTTCTGTCAAAAGCACAGGTAGCAAAAAAGTCCGATCAACTGGCACCACTACAATCCAGGTGACAAGAATAGCAAGGTCAGCCGCCAAAACTTATGTCTAGCCTAGGGTATCGACGGGGCTATTTCGAACACAAAGGCGTCAGTTTTTAAATCTTCATTTGCATTTTTTCAAGTATTGTGCAACCATTTCGGGAAAAATTTCGCTTCGGATAGTCTTGTAGAGCCTAGGAGAATATATTTCAACAGTTGTCCTGGGTGGACATTTTATCTATACTCGGGCCAATAACGCAATAACTTTTTTACTTTTTGTAAATAAAATAAAAAAACGACAAAATGTCACTTCTCAAGATGCGTAATATCCGTGCCGTTCTATAGTTTCCTTCAAGTACTTGGACATTTTACCCCTTTCAATCACACGCGACTTCTCATGGGAAATGA